ATAGTCGGCCTCAGTGCCGATGCCCCCGCCTCTGCATCCATCACCTCCTCGGCGGCCGAGTCTCCCCCGCCAGGCGTGTTGACAATGAGCGACGACAAACCAGACGCTCCTATGGCCGCCGACACAGATAGGTCTCAGGGCACGATGGACAACGACTCGCTTATGGGCCACCAGGACCCACCCGACCGCAGCGGCAACGACGAGAGCGCGGAAGACGGCACCCCCCCTACAAAGATGGAGTCTCCCGACTTTGGAGAAGACGATCCCCCTCGGCCTCTTACTTGTTCGGACTCGGCCTCGGACGACGATAGAAGGCGCCCTGGCGAGGAGGCGTCTCAGCATAGCCCATCGGCCGACAGCTCCGACTCCAGCCGCGAGGATGCCCCGACCTCGGCCGGGGAGGAGGCGCCCGACGCCGACCGCAGTAGGAACCCAACCCGGGGACCCGTGAGGGACGAGAGAACCCGCGACCGAGGTGGCTCGCGGACCGAGCGTTCCCCGGAGCCCACCCCGCAGTTCCCTGGACAGAGGCGCTATCACCATCGCCATGCCGGCACATCGGAGCAGGAGGCCCTCAACCGGTTGACCTGTCCGGAGGGGGGCGGCCCCATGTGCAAAGTCTGGCTGGGCACGGTAGACCTCGAACGTCCCAACGAGACGCCTGCCAGACGCATAGCCAGGCTTCAGTCAGAGTTGGGCGCAGTCTTCTGCGCGCTGTGGACAGCGCACACGCAGCGAACCTGCCTCCCTGGATCCAGGGCGCCCAAATCCGACCCGAAATTGCACACGGCCACGTCCATCAATAAGTTTCTTGAGGACTGGAAGGACTGCGGGTATGACGCCTACCAGATGAGCACGAGGCTGGGTTACGGCATTGACTGGGACAGGCTACGAGCCAACTACCTGCGACACTCCCGCACCGACGACAGGGGCAAAGGCAGCTACCACCAGACCGGCTGGCGTGACCGCGCGACAAGCTCCTGGGACACCCGGGGCAGCTGGCAGGGCGAATGGAGTGATGGATGGCGCGAAGATCGCTGGCAGTCGGGCGGCAAACGCGGCGGAGGCCGCCCCGACGAATGGGACGATAGAGACGAAAAGAGGCTCCGATGGAGGGACTGAGCTTGCTCCCCGCTCCCAGCGCCTAGCGCCACCGCGACAACCTCACCGCGCACTGTGTGCGGCCTCCGCCGCTTTCTTTCTCCAACTGCGGGGCAGCCCGTCTGCCCCCCCCCCCCCCCTGGGCGGCGCTCCTCCTACCTTTGGACCATGGAATGCCGCCCAGTAATGCCATCTGCACTTTGCGTGGCAGTGCGCAGCCTGCAGGCCCTAGCTGGCCCCTGGCCCTGCTGCCTTACTCTCACCTGTGGCTGCTGCATCCTTGCCGCAGGGCTCACGTTCTCCGCTCCATTGTGTTTCGCACCCTGGAATCCCTCTGGCGCAGCCTTGTGCCGCGCTGCGGACTCCGTTTTACCGCGGCGTTTCGTCGCCCTCCACCGACGCGCGCACCTCCTGCCTTCGGAGTCAGGTGTGCTCTTCGGTAATACTGTCCACTGCCACTCCGGGTGGTGGACCCGCGGCCCCCGGCCTTACTGTAGATCGCTCGCCCGCCAGGCGCGACCTGGCCCGCGTCTGTGGACTCCGGCACCGCCCGTCCATAGGCTCATTCCCTGGACTTCTCAACCGCTTAACGGCCTTCAGCCGTGACCCTGGATCGAAGTGACTCTGAGGGGCGCGTTTTGGGTATACGACGGTCCCGTCCCTCGCGTGCTACCTGACTCGCTTTCGGGTGGCGCTGAGACACTTTGGATGTGCACCTTCGGTCCGCGTTCCTACCGTGTGGCTTTGTGCGCACTGCTGCGCCCTTATCCGTCGGTGGATCAAGGGCCTGACGCATCACAGTTGTGGAAGTTTCTTTCTGGCCACTCTCATTCCACACCCTGGTTGCGTATGCTGACGTTGCGATGTTCTGATCCGCCGTCGGGTCTTCCCGTTGGACACTGTCGCCAGACAGTCTGTGTTACCCGTCAGACTCCCTGGATAGACGTCTTCGGGACCGTTCCTACCCGTTCGACTCGAACTGTTGGGAGCGCTTTACGCGCCATTTTGGCTGCGCTCGGCTTCCTCGGTGCCTGTTTTCAGACTCCCTGGATGCGCCGTTGCATGACCCGTCCTGGGACTGCCCTGCAGACTCCCTGGATTGCACGCCTTGGCTCAGACGCCCTGGGTAGCTGCTGCCTGCCGCCTGACCGCGACTTCGCGCGCGCCCGCCGCTAGTCGCGGCCCCAGCCCGCCCGCGACCGCCCGCCGCCGGCGCTTCCGCGTGCGGCCGTAAAACAAAAAGTATCCCCACCAGTTTCGCCGTCAGGGTTTCCCCGCTGGACTGTGTCACCAGTCAGTCTGTGCCTACCCGACAGACTCCCTGGATTGACGTCTCGCTCGGGACCGTTTCCTACCCGTTCGTACTCGAACTGTTGGGAACGCCTTACGCGCCATTTTGGCTGCGCTCTGCTTCCTCGGTGCCTGTGGTCAGACTCCCTGGATGCGCCGTTGCATGTTCCTTTCAGGGGCTGCCCTGCAGACTCCCTGGATATGCACGCCTTGGCTCAGACGCCCTGGGTCGCTGCTGCCTGCCGCCTGACCGCGGCCCCGCGCGCGCCCGCTTCCTAGTCGCGGCCGCAACCCGACCGTGACCGCCTGCCGCTGGCGCTTCCGCCTGCGGCTGTAAAAAAATATCCCCACCAGTTTGCTTACGCTATCTTGCTTACCACGTCTGGGCACCCCGACGGCATGTTGGACACGCAGCCCACAGCTATCGTCCTCACGCTCCTTCGGGCACATCTTGAATTCACCAAAATTTTGCCGTGTTGCAAGTGCTCGAGCACCCTGGACGCCCCCAGCTTGCCGCTTCTCCCGCGCAGTCAGCCGCTGCTGTATGAGTGGGCCGGCCGGCTTGCGGCGCGTTTAGCTGCTAATTCGGCCGCTGTCGTGACCCGTAGCGCTCCTGGCTCCGCTTGCGCCTTCGCTTGCGGACGCGACCGAAAAAGTGTATCGCCACCAGCCCATCCAAGAACGATGCGCATGAGGGCAGACGGGGGGAGAGAGGAAGAGACACGCATAGTCAAACAGCGAGGGAGCCGGCCAGCCGAAGAGACGCGCATAGTTAAACACTGAGGGAATGTTGATCTTCCTGGGGCGGCTCCGTGGCCATCTCGAGCTGTCTTGGAGCGGTCTTGGGGCCTCTTGGAGCATCTTGGGAGCCATCTTGAGCCAGCTTTGGCTATCTTGAGCCATCTTGGAGGTCATCTTGGACTCTGAGGCCGCTCGGGGGCCTCTTGGGGGCCTTTCGGGGGCCTCCTGAGTCCTCTTTTGGCCTCTTGGGGCGCTCGTGGGACCCTCCTGGGGGCCTCTTGGGAGCCCTGGGAGGCCTCTTGGAGCCATCTTGGAGGCGGTCGGTCAAAAGAGGGGGGTACTCGATTTGCATCCCCCCTTCTGGGGCCACGATCCTCGTGATGGGTGTCGAAAATTGGCCCTCCCACTGGCCGAAAAGGGACCTTCTGACACCTCGCGACCCTCCCAACAACCCCATGGAGGGTAGGGGGAGGATGAGGATCATGAGGAGGAGGAGGAGGAGGAGGAGGAGGAGGAGGAGGAGGAGGAGGAGGAGGAGGAGGAGGAGGAGGAGGAGGAGGAGGAGGAGGAGGAGGAGGAGGAGGACCAGGGGAAGGGGGATGAGGAGGGACGAGCAGTGGGGGTCGGGGTGGGGGAATCCGGCAGAGGAGGTGAAGGAGGGGGTCGAGGAGGAGGAGGAGAAGGAGGAGGAGGAGGAGGAGGAGGAGGAGGAGGAGGAGGAGGAGGAGGACGATGATGAGGATGGAGGGGAAGGAGGAGGAGGGCTGACTCTGACTATGAGAATTCATCAGGGAGGGAGGGTGACGATGAGGAAGAGGGGGAGGCGGCGGCGCAGGAGGGGGATGGAGAATGGTCCAGCTGTGAGTTTAGTCTGCCTGTTGTTTGACCCCAGCGCGGTGCGACAGGATGATGATGGGCATGATGCATATGATGGTGATGGTGATGTTGATGATGGTGATGATGATTGTGCTGCTGATGCTGCTGTTGATGATGATGATGCTGATGATACTGCGTACGCTCCCGAGGCATTGACGATGCTGCTGCTGCTGCTGATGATGTTGCTGCTGATGACGCTGCTGCTGATGACGATACTGATTGTAATGATGTTGATGATGCTGCTGCTGCTGATGGTGATGAGGTTGATGCTGCCGCTGATGCTGATGACGACGACGACCAAGATGATGATACTGCTGCTGATGATGATGGTGATGATGGTGCTGATGCTGATGCTGTTGGCGACGAGGATGATGATGACTCTGATGATGCTGATACTGAATAAGATGAAACTGATGCTGTTGATGATGCGGGTGATGGTGCTGATGATAGTGATGCTGCTGATGATGATGCTGATGATGATGACGTTGATGATGATGCTGATGATGATGCTGCTGATGATGATGCTGCTGCTGATGATGATGATGATGATGAATGATGATGGTGATGATGATGAGGATGTCGATCAAGATCAGGATGACGGTGCCGCTGGTGACGATGCTGATGGCGATGCTCACGATGATGGTGACGCCGATGAATGCGATGCTGATGGTGACCATACATGCTGACAACGATATTGATACGATGCTGATGATGCTGCATATGCTGTAACTGCGATGCTGCTGCAGATGATGCTAATGATCAGTACGACACTAAAGATGAAAAGCAAGAGGGATGCGGGATGAGGAACGTACATGAGGAGGGATGGGGATTGGGAGGGGGATTGGGACGGCGAGGATGTGGAGGCAAAGGCTGAGGCGGAGGCGGCGGGAGCAGGACGAGGAGACTGGACGAGTTGAACGAGATGAACGAGAAGGAGGAGGACGAAGATGACGAGGAAGGACGAGGAGGACGGTGAGGAGGCCGCGGCGCAGGGCGAGCCCAGCCCAGACCGCGCCGCTGCCGCAGAAACGCCGGCCGGGTGCCCGGGGCTGGAACAGCTGCAAGGCGCAGGGCAGCGCAGTCGCAGCTGCAGTCGCAACGGGTGCCGGGAGCCCACGTTGCAGTCGCCATACTCCTCCTCCTCCTCCTCCTCATTGTCCTGTTTGTTATCGTCGTCCCCCTTGTCATCCTCCTCGTCCCTCCGCCTCGTCCTGCCTGTCCTCGTCGACGTCGTCTTCGTCGCCATCCTCCTCCTCGTGCTCGTCCTCCTCGTCCTTGGTGTCCTTGTCTTCTTCCTCGTCTTCGCCCTCGTCCACTGCCATTTTGGCTGAAGATGCTCCGTTACCCTTCGCAACCAGGGGAGGCCTCTGTTTTGAGGCAGTCAAGGCCTTGCGCCAGGCATCCTTCTATCAAGCCTGTACTGGTACTGCACGGGCTCCTGGCCGCCCCTCCCTTTTCCTTGTTTCTGTCTACACCTGTCAGTTCAGTGCTCCAGGGGGAGCTTCACTGCAGAGCCGCCCCGGAGCAGGGCGAATGACCACCAGCGGAGGCGCCTCGGGGGGGCACATGCGTGGTACTGCAAGTGGTGCGTCAACCTGCGGGATTCCGCACTGGTGGAACCACGCTGGTCCTCCGTCTTGCAGCAAATGTGCCACGGCCAAGGGAACAGCGTTCAACGGCCACCGTGAGTTGAAGAACCCGCCGAACCCCCCGAAATTTCTTGAGGAGAGGAGGGGCCATACGGATACTTTCACGCAGCAGCAGCTCCAGAAGGAACTCGCTGCAAAAGAAAAGGATGTTCAACGACTGCGTGTCCTCACGACAGGTGGAACAGCTAATTCGAAGCTTGACCCACGGCAGTGTACAATGCAGCATCATATATGGACAAAGCGAGGACCAGTGATATGGGCACACCCTTCAGGACAATTGGTGTGTAATCCTGGTCCGCCTCAAGGGTGAACTGCCGGCTGAGCTCGAAGCCCTCCGTCAGAAGGTGTTCGGGGAAAAGACTGTTGCAGTAACGTTGCACCAACTCGTTCACCGCTGCCACGCACTCGAGAAGGAGAGAGGTCGTCAGATGGCAGTCGTCCACAGCCTCGCTCAGGAGGCCAAGGACTTCGCTGATGATGTCGTTGAGGCGAAGGTGTTGCTCGCAGCCGCGGCAAGCGAGTTGGTTGATGCGGACGGGTTGCGTCATGCAGCGGCGAGCCAGATTCCTAAACCAGTCGGGGGAGAAAATCCCATGTTATCGTTCTCAGTCGTCTCAGGGAGCGGAAGCAAGCTTCGAGATGCTCGAATGGCTGGGTGCAGGGCAGTCCTCCGAAACGAGCGTGTTGGGATTTTTCGATCAGTTGCGCGGGTTGGATTGGGCCGCCGTTGAGCGCCGCGCTCGTGGCGATAGCGCTGGCTCAGGTGGCGGGGGGGGATGCGCGGCCGGCGGCGGAGACGGATCCGCTTCGGCAGCTGCGCCGCGCCATCCAGGTCCGCCGACCGCCGACCATATTCCAGTCCCAGTGGGTTCAGGTGACTTACCAAACCGTCAGGAGCTTTGCAGAAACGCCTTCGGGGGTTGAATCGCTCGAGCAATTTCAACTGCGCGCAGTAATCGCGAGGCTTGACGACGCGGTCGCGTCGCGCATCGCGTCCAGAGGGCGCGCTTGCTTGCTTGAGCTGTCCTATCTCGTCTCATGCTGTGCCCGCACCTATACTGGGGCTCTGGCCATGCCTCATGGAGTTGCGAAGTTGATCGGCAGACCGCCATCCGTCCAGTGTTGCGCAGGTGCCGAGTGCAAGTGTTCTGCCGTGGCTCAGGATGCGCAGCCGCCGACGTCGGTTGCGGATACCTCCCCCCTTCGGTGCGCGTCGGATGCCTGGGCCGAAGTCATCGGTGGCCATCTTTGTTTAGATCGCGTCAATTTAGACCTGGAGGGGTTCCAGGAATTCCCCCGGGATCTTGCGAACGCCACCCCTGGAATCTCCGGCGGCGGTGCTGGGGCCCCCATCTGATCTCCGGCGGCAGACCCCCCTTGCGGAATCTCCGGGAGATTCTTCTTAACGAATCCCCCGAGGTTAGACATCTTTGCCAACTGTCAACCGAAATCTCCGGCGAAATGTCCGGGGGGCCCCCGTCAGGTACAAATCTCCGGCGAAATCTCCGGGCCATTCTGCCTGCGCGAGAATCGCCGCAAACGGGATCTCTCCTAATGCTCCGCGTGTGGAATCCGATTGCAATCCTGCAGAGATGATGATCTCGCTCGATGGATTATCCTCGAGCCATAAGAGCTTTGGCGGGAACGCCCCGCTCCTCTCAGTCCAGCCCTGCACGGGCCTTGCACAGGGGGCCTCTTCGGGCCCAATTCATGCTCTAGGGCCTCCACGGGCCCGCCGCACGCGCCAGGGCCTTTTCGGGCCCTGGCCTACACTATGGCCGCCTCGGGAGGGGCCGTACACTCACTGACGCCTGCACGCCCCCACGGCGCCTCGTCGAGGCACATCACCTCGTTCACCTTGCCATAGGCCGCAAGCTCGTTCTCACCCGTGGCTCGCCTCGGGCAGCACCATGAACCTCGGCGTCGTGTACTTCCACTTGTATGTGCATGGCGATTGACTCGCCTTCTCCTCCGTCATCGGCTTGTCCGTGAACCTTACCTTGTTGATCAGCTCCTTGCTCCGATTCGGGGTATTCGTATGCTTGACCAGATTTAGCTTCGTGGAGCTCTTCATCGTCGTCCACTTCTCGCGGCTCCAACATCCGAGCAGTGCACCTGCCACGGATGTCATCATCAGCACGCTCAGGATGATCAGGTCATCGATCCAGTCCTTCAGCTTTGTCGCCTCCCAGGGGGCAACTGCACGCTGGTCGAGCTCTCGCACTGCACACTCGCTTGATGTAGTCGCACCACCACTCACTCCTTGCGCGAGCAGTGTCGCCAGCAACCCCTGCTTAGCCCAGGCGCTCGTTGTCACCGAGCATGCCTCCAGCTCCTTGTGCTTATCCATCTCGCTGCAGTCGATGATGCCAGCGAGCTCTCGCAGGTACTCGAACCGCTCTGTGGTGTGCGCTTTGGTTCCCAGGTCGGCCACGTTCTTGGTTCCGCTCTCCTTCTTGATGTTCAGTCCGTGAACCTTCCGCTCCTGCTGGATCCACAGCGCCCGCGCGTCCAGGTGCTTCACCTTTCCGACGCCCTCGCGGTTGATCATCGCCTTCGCGGCGCTGCTGTCGATCCCGAGCTCCCAGGCCACCTTGTAGCCCAACCACTCCATCATGTTCTTCACCAGCTTGCCGTCCATCACCACCGAGGTCGCGCCGTAGAACTCCGCCTCGCCTGAGGATGTACTCTGGACTCCTTGCCTCCTCGCAAACGCTGCGAAATGCACGCCGTCCACCTTTGTGATCCCACAGGTCATCGCACGCCTCGTCTCCTTGCACGTCGCAAAGTCCGTGTCCGTGAACAACTGCAGCTTCACCTCTCCAGGCTTGCTCCCAGTTGGCTTCTCCAAAAGCACTCCGGACGTCTTTGTCCCCTTCAAGTACCTCACCAGCTTCGCCAATCGCTTCCTGCCAAACTCCGTCGGCTGACTCAGGTTCCTGGTCAGCAGCTGCACGTCCCGCTGGATGTCCGCTCTGTCGGGCGAGATGTAGAGCGCGATCCCAACTCCTGTGCGAAACTTCGCCCTCTCGATCTCGTCCAAGTCGGGGCTCCATGTCGGGTCCTCCTCAGTCAAGCTTGGCACCTTCGCTGGCTTGGCCTTCTCCATGCCCATCACGTAGATCAGGTCGTCGATATGCTTCACGGTCGGCCTCAGCATGATGTTGCCGTTCATGAGCCTCAGCCTGTCACGCTTCAAGTGCGAGCAGCGTCCCTGCCTGATGACGTCCGTCGCCTTCAGGTCGAACGCCCCCCGCAGCCGTTTGATGACCCCCTCCAGGTTGCTGGTTGGACCCTCTCCGTGGAAGTCGTCCATGTGCACCTCGATCAGGATCTCCTTCTCCCTGTGGTAGTAGAACTGCGGCTGACACTCACTCCTGTCGAAGCCCTCTCCCTTCAGAGTCTTCGCCGCCTTGTCTACCCAGCCAGCGCCTGCCACACGCTGCCCAGGTAGCATCTTGTCAAGCGCCCAAACAATGTCGGTCGGCTTGCCCATCTCAGCCAAGATCGCCAGATACTCAGCAGGTGGCTCCACACATGCCTTCTCCGTCTGGTCCGCTTGGTAGTACGCGTTCACGCAGTCTGCGATGAAGGTCCCGTGGTTCTCCTCCTTGATGCTGACGAAGTCCACCAGCCTGCTCGTCTGTGCTGGCGAACTCGCTGCGAACACGTCGTCGCGCTGCTCCATCCACTTGAACTCCTGCGCCACGTGCCGCCACTTGCAGATGCCTCCTCGCATCTGCGGCTCCCAGCGCGCCCTGATCTTCTTGAACTCGCCGCTCTCGCTCCTCGGGATGTCCCTGTGAACCCCATAGTGCGCCAGCACCTCTAGTGCTTCGCGCTTGCCTTTGAGCTCCACCGCGGGCTCCAGCCCGCTGACCGTCACGTAGCAGTCTGTGCCCATCCTGTCCAGGATGCTGTAGTCGATAGGGTCGTCGAGCGAGACCGCGTCCACGTGCTTCGCGCGCTTGCCTGGTGCTCCGAGGTCCTCAGCGTCGGCAGGTCTGATCAGCCCTCGGGGTGTCATCGGCACGTCCGCATCCGTCGTGCTCTTCCCCTCTGGTCTTGTCGCCGCTGCCGCTCCAACTCCAGGTCCCGCAGATGCTAGCGATGGCTCCGCGCTCCCTGCTGCAGCCGGCCGCGCCCCCTGCTCGGGCGCCCCCTGGGGTGGCGTCGCCTCTCGTGCTGCCTCCTGCGCCTCAGTCTTCGCCTTCTGCTCCGCCGCCGTCAGAACGATCGTAGGCATCGGCCTCTGAATCCTGGGCAGTAGCTCGCACGGCTTAGCGCTCCTCGCGTCCCAGGGTAGGGCCTTCACTGCCTTCATCAGCTTGTCATCTGCTCGCAGCGCTGGCTCCAGCCGCCTGCGTGTCCTCGCGCGGTGCCAGCCTGCTGGCGTGAAGAACAAGTGGTCGTCGCTCTCTTCTGTGTGCTTCCCGATCCAGATGCCCTTCGC